GGGAAGAAGCATAAAAGGGGGGAGAGGCGGCACCTGACACAGCCTTGCACCCTGAGGCAGAACCAGCTGGCTACGAGCTGCACCACTGTCCCCGCGTGTGCTGCTGTCTCCCAGCACCTGGAGTCCTGCCTTGCTCCTCTCACCTGACCTAGGAGGGGGCACCCACGCTGCCAGCTCTGCAAGGCTGCTGCCAGCCTGGCGGTCCCTCAAAAGCCCAGGCCACCCTGGGTGCCCCATCTCCGTTCCTCAGTGTTTGTCTCTAGAAATCGTGTCTTTACAAGGTGTGATAAAAAATATGGTGAATGCTGCTGCTAAGCGCCATCCAATAAAAAGCAGGCTCATAAAAATACAAGGGCATGTCCTCATGTACCTTATCTGCCAGATCTAGTGCCATGTAAATCCTGGCTCTTCCCCCAAGTCAAAATGACTGTGGAAGGTAACTGTTTTGAATCTATTCAGGACCTTGAGGCAGCCAGGGCAGTGCAACTAAAGACGCTCAGGAAAGAGGACACCTGTGCTGCTTCAGAAAGTGTTCAAAGCAAGGGGAAATATTTTGGTGGGGATTTATGGCAATAGGTCTTTTACTGTAGTAAATTTTTAAATTTAAACATTCTGGTTTTTTAATCACACCATGTATAGTGTTGCTGATTATCATACCTTTGGGAGTTCTTTTTAGGAGCTGCCATCCACCTCTGGATGTGTCCCACTCAGAGTTATTGAATGTTGTGACTGGTACCTAAAATCTCCCCCACAAGGCTCCTGGCTGCCACCAGCTGATGAGCTTTAGGAAGTGACTGGATCACAAGGGTTCTAACTTCATCAATGGAGTAAGCTGTGGATGAGTCCAGCAGCTGAATGGGCTGACTAGGAGGAGGAGGATACTGATTGGACAAAGCAGGTCACCTGGTTACTACTTTGAAGGATATATTTTGTCCCCAGCCCCTTTCTCTCTGGCTCTTTTCACCTCTACTTCCCAGCTGCCGTGAGGTGAGTAGCTTGCTCCACCAGGCCCTTCCACCATGCTTTTACCTCCCCCCAGCCCACAGTAATGGTGCCAGCTGACCATGGACTGAAACCTCTGAAAGTGAGAATCAAATACAATCAGTCTTTTCTCTTTTAAGTTGTGATTCTCAGGTGTTTTGTCACAGCAATGACAACCTAATACTTTGACCAAGGAATCAAACCTACTTAAATTATTTTGGAACCTGTTTTCCAGACACTTAGGATGCATGTGGAACTACATCTACACTGTCTTTTCTATGGCCTGTTCTAGGATGCTATGATCACTTTACCTTGAGTGCACACACAAAATACCTACAGTTTTTTCTCTAATGACCAAAATTATTTCCGTTTACTCTTTTCATTTTTTTACTGTGATTAATAAACATATAACACAAACTTACCATCTTAACTGTTTTTTAAGTGCACAATATACTGGTGCTAACGATATTCACATTATTGTACAACCATCAATGCCATTCATTTCTGGAACTTTTTCATCTTCCCAAAGTGAAACTTCATAGCAATTCACAGCTGCTCACTTCCCCTCCCCAGCCTCTGGCACCCACCATTCTTCTCTCCATCTCTGTGAAGGTGACGAGCATGCTCTAGCAGCCTCATAAAAGTGGAATCATACAGCCTGTATCTTTGTCACTGGCTTACTTCACTTAATGTTTTCGGGTTCATCCAACTTGTAGCATGCGTCAGAATGTCCTCCCTTGGTAAGGGTGAATGATATTCCACACTATAGATGGACCACATTTTGTTTCCGTAGACACCTGCATTGTATCCACTTTGTGGATTTTGTAAATCATGCTGTAGTGCTTGTAGGTGTTCAAGAATCCCTTCAAGTCCTTGCTGTCAATTTTTAGGGGACATATACACAAGCAGGATTGGTGGATCATATCTACCTTTAACTTTCCAAGGAATAGCCATGCTGTTTTCCACAGAGCTGCACCTTTTACATTCCCACTGATTTCCCCATATCCTTGCCAGTGCTTATATTTTTCTTACAATAGTGTGTGGTTTACATCCAAAATTTCTCCCAAAATTCTCATGCACTCAGAGGTGGAGATTTTGGAATGTGACTAGATCATGGGGCACTCTACTAATCGGTGGATTCACCCACTAATGAGATCACCAGCCGAGTGTGCTGTAGCAGGTGGGGCCTGATTGGAGGTCACTGGGTTTGACCTGGAAGAGTTTAGTCTTCCTCCCCAGCTCTTCCTTCCTTTCCTGCTTCCTGTCCACCATGACATGAGCAGCTTACCTCCACAAGGCCTTTGTACCAGACCATTTCTGCATTTGAACCAACCAACCACCATGGACTGAAACTTCTGAAATTGCAAACCAAAGCAATCCTGTCCTCCTTTAAACTGTGGGTGTGAGGTATTTTATCCCAGTGAGGAGAAAGTGACTAAAACAGATAGCAATCCTAATTGGTAAGAGCTGGTAAGTAGGTTTATCTTTTGACTTTATGAAATGCTATGGCTTGTGTCTGGATGTCCCCCAAGCCTCATGCAGTCCTGGGTGGGGTTTGTCAGAGGTGGCTGAATCTAGAGTGTGTGACTCTTGTGTTGATTCATGGTGCAAGGCTAAGATCAAGAGAAGTAGAGTTAAGGGTGTGAGTGCTACATGTTCTAGGTAGCCTGGATAAGATATAAGGGATAGAAAAAGCTGTGGTCATCCTTTGCTCGCCATGCTACCTTCTGTCTGCCATGAACTATCTCTCCTTGGCCAATTATGGACTGAAACCTCTACAAATTGTGAGCTCTATAAACCTTTCCTCTCTTAACTTGTAAGTATCGGGTACAGTGGACACTTGACTTAGAAACTTGATTTGTTCCTGAGGACTGGCTGTAACTCAGGTTGTCAGCTGAAGGCTCAGACTCCTCTACACAGCCTTCAAAGTCTCTCTCCTATACACAGGCAGATCACAGTGTCCTTAGGGAGACATTAGGATTTCTCACTTAACCCCATACAGGAAAGGATGCTGTAATGTTCCTTCCAGAACTCTTTAGGGGTTAAATCTGTATTTGAGACCACCTGGAAGCATAAGCAGCCAGCATTCAGGTCATAGCTCAAGACCATGATCATAAATTAAAACTAAAATTCTGGTCCTAACCCACGTTGTTCGTACGTCAGGCAGGCCATAACTCGATGGTCCAGTGTATTTTGTCTCAGCAACAAGAAAAGTAACTAAGACATGACATACCTTATTTGATCCAAACATTTCAATTTTTACTAACAAAGGCCTGTGGGGCTTTTAGGAAATATGTATAAGCTAATGGGATTATGCATGTCTACATGCACCCCAGGAAAAGGGAGCCAGGGAGGAAGAGAAAGATTGCTGTCTGACTGCAGAGTATTCTGGAACACTATGGACTTCCTGTCTTCAGTGTGGCTGCCACATCCCGTGGCCAACCAGCTGTCAGCCCCATTATGGGATCACCATGACAACCATAAATCTAGGCTGCAGCGAAAGCAGCAGGATGTGCTCCTACCAGACTCGGAGTACAGTTTGAGGGATGGGGGAGTCTGCGTTGCTGCCCGCTAGACCTTAACTGTACCAGAAAAAAGACACCAAATATCGCCTGTTGCTGTGAACCAAGGCCTGAAGATTTCTACTTACATTTAAATTGCTCTTTCTTTTCTAAAGCATTCAGAGCCACTATCTTAATATAACTGCACATGACGCAGGCAAGAGGAGCTTAAAAAAGAGAAAACCTAGAGCAGTCATACCATGCTGTCCAGACCTGCTTTCTGTCAAAGGCAGTACAGGGTTTTGGATTTTGTTTTGCTGGTGCTTATACATTTCCAGTCAGATCAAACATACGCTTAGTTTCTTTACTTGCAAAATCTGTTGAGTTTGGGAAGATAACGTATTTTAATATAATTTTTAAAATGCTCTCTCCAAAGGAAAGCTGCCCAAGACACATGCCAAGGAGCCCAGGGCTGAACTGGGCAGACACCACGCAGCCAGTACAGCCACACCCGTCTCCAACCTGCCAGCGGCCACCTGCCAAGTGTCTCTTCTCCTTGTCCTGCCACCTCAGCCACCCACCATATGCTATGCAGAAACCTTCCTGAGAGGAGCAAGACAAAGGAGAACAGTCCACGCTGCAAGGGTGCCCTCCCCCCAGGACAGACAGGCAAGCACAGGTCAGCCGGCCCTGAGATTCCTGCCCTCCCTGCTTTTGCCTTCCACATCCAAAGCACGGTGTGTACACCCTGAGCCCAGGACCTGTGCTTCAGAAGGAAGGGCGTCCGCACTTGACCTGGCTCCAATGAGGAGGAGCCCCAGCTGCACCCCAGCCACACCCTCCTGTGCACCCGGGTCCCCATCATCACCTCTGTACAGAGAATCCGGGCACTCAAGAGGCAGCTTTGCCAGTGTACACACCGTCAGACAGAGCTGGTGGGCAGCAGGCCAAGACCGGAGGGTGTGTCCCCCACACGTGTGCTCTAGACCCCACCTCGCTTTGGGCAAAGTGCCTTTGTGCATCTCTTTGTCCCTTTGCCGATCTTCGTGTTTATTATCTGAGTTCAAACTGCAAACTGCCCTGAATTCATCACCCATCGAACAAGAGGAGAAGGAGTCCCACATGACTCTCCCTCCCCGCCCCCACACACTCTTGGTAGAGCGCCCCAGCTGTGGGCCTGAACCCCGCCTGAAGACGAGCAGAGCGCAAGGGGGCAGAGAACAAGCAGAGGTGATGAGGAGGAAAACACAGGGTGGGCAGGGCTGCCCCTGGACCTCCACACCAGGAGTCCATCCCACAGCCTCTCCCTCTATAGCTGCAAAGCCTCTTGTGACCCGTCCTAAGACACCAGGGCACCAACAGATGACACGCTGGTCCACCCTCTGCATGTGAAGTGTGCGACCCACGTCCCTCCACCTCCAGTTCCCCTGGCCTGCAGCCTTCCGGACGGTAGGGCGTGGTACATCTCGCTCGGGGCCACCTGGCAGGAGAGACCCAGCCTGGCCGCTGCACACTCACCATTTACGCAGGCCTCCGTCGCGCCGCAAAGGCCGTCCTCCAGCAGGCAGCCTGGGGGAGACAGAGAGGCAGCAGTCAGTGAGAGGACAGAGACCGTGCCCCCGGGCGCCGTCTGCTGCCGCAGAGGTTCCATGTACACCGAGGCAGATCTACTTTGATATGAGGCTGGGTTATTCTGGTTTTTGTTTTTGCAGAGCTGAGGATCAGAGCCAGGGTCCTGAGAACCCCAGGCAAGCATGGCATGGACAGCCACCCAAAGGGAGCATGGCACAGCCTGATACACACAGGGCAACTCTTAAAGCGAGGCCTCTGCACCACCCTCATCCCTACCAGGCGGCACTGCATCTCTGCCTGTGGCCCCAGCTGTCCTGATACCCTGCTGCCCAGGGGCACAGACCCCAGGGCTCCTCCCAGGAAAGGAGCGGGCTCACGGTACCAGGGCAGACTAGGACCTTGGGCAGCCCACATGTGCCACAAACCAGTACCAGCGCATGACACCAGGAGGGCCAGGGACAGAGCACCTGGGGAGCAAGGGGTGACCACGTGGCCACTGATGAGGAAAAGAGAGGTCAGCAGGGCCCAGGAAGGAGGAAAGGGACATGAGGAAGTTAGAGAGGACAGAGAAGTGGGGACAGCCCCCCTTAGGACACCAGCTCCTCACTGCGGGGCTCCGTCCTCCTGAGAGGGAACCCCACATCAGATAGGAGTAGGAACAGGGCTGGGGAAGGCCATGCGTGCTCTGTGGCACTCATCTCGGACACAAAGGACACAAGAAACAGCCACCCTGCAGCAGGGGCCCAGGAAACAGGGTGCGGTCGGGGCCAGCACTATAATCATACCCGCCCCAGGGCCACCCAAATCTGGGTGGGTTCCGAACACATTATGCCTTTCAGCAGCCTGAGCGTGTGTTCCCGCCAAAGCCTCATTCTTTACTCCTGCTCCTCTGGTCGACAGACTCCCACACATCCACCAGGAACCACTCGGAAGGCCCCCAGAGCCCCTTGCTGGCCTGGTAGCTACTCTGCCCAGGCATCCGACAGGACTGCCCACATTGTACTGGGACTGTAGCCTAAGGACACACTCTCCCCTTGATTGTGGGGGTCTTGGGGTTAGGGCTCCATCCTTTCACGGCTGTCCAGGCCGGGCTGCAAGGCAAGTGAAAGAATGGGAACCAACTAATTAGGAGAGAGCTGGTAACTACGAAGGAATCCACCCACAGAGCAACTTTAAAGTGCAACCATTAACTTCCTGGCCTAAAGTCCTGGGAGCTGGAGCACCCAATTACATTAAATAGATTAGTTTACCAAGCCCAAACCATGATCCACAGAGGACGCAAAAATAAACATCACACAGAACTAAAGGTCAGAGTCACCCTAAATCCACACTGTGGCCTCTTGAATTTATGACATCCTTTCAAGCCCCCCAAAAGAAAGGGCAATTTTCAGGGTCACCTCCTCCTACAAGGAGCACAGGCTTATGCCCAGCTGAGGGTCCCACTGCCTGCCCAGTGCCCACCCCATGCCCGTGGAGCCTATACCCAAGGCTGGCAGCCTCTGCTTCTCTGAGAGAATCGCATGAGCTCAGATAGCACATTCTTCCTCTTCACCGTCTCCAGCACATCTGCGTGCGTGGCTGCACTGGAGCTCAGGGCCCTGAGCCCCCCGCCTGCCCCCACTCCCTGTCACCCCTCACCCACAGGTGTTGAGCAGCAGGGTGTGCAGGAAAGGTGGTGGTGGCAGAGTGTTCTTGGGGAGGCTCTGCAGCAGACGTGATTGTGGGGCCTTGCGGGCCCAGGTGCCAGGCTGGTCCCTGTAAAGGCAGTGGCCCAAGTTTGCTGTGAGCATGAAATCAGCACTGCTAGGCCATCTCTCTTCCCCCACCTGACCTCCAGGCCCTCCCTGTGGAGTAACAGTCAGTCTGGGGTATCGCCTGAAGGCTTAAGTCTCAGCTGGTAAGATGGGGAGGGGGCCCCAGGAGGCGGGACCAGGTGTGCCTCAAAAGGGGTGCTTCTCCACCCTCACTCCTGCTGTCTGCTCCTGGCTGCCTCTCCTGTGCCACACACTCCCAGGCCATGATGCCCAGCATCACCTCAGTCCTAGAGCAACAGAACCAAAATAAACCGCTCGTCCAGTCTCTCTCAGGTGCCCTGCCACTGCAACGGAGAGCAGACTGGCACAGCAACTCAGAGGGGTGCTCAGCAGTGGGGACCCCACCCACCAGGCCACTCGCCCCTCTCCATGGCCTGGGAGGGCAGAGGCTGGCTAGCACTGCAGGGAGGACAGAGCAGAAAGTGCCCAAGGTGTGACCACGTTGGAAGCTTTGGCTGAGTCCTGACACGGCAGCACCTTTGCATGTCCCGCCATGGTAACAGTCATAGGAGCCAGCACACACCATCACTGTACGTGCCCGGTGCCCACAGGGGCACAGCGACCTGCAGACACACAGCCCCGGAAGCAACCCACACTCAGAGCTGGTGTCCGGCCCAGGAAATGGCAGGTGACCGAACTCTGCTAGACAGGACAGGACAAACGCCTGTTCACTGCTTCCCAGGTCTGCCTTGATCACGGCAGATAATTAGACACGACATGAACATGACCTCATCACAGGGAAGCCAAGTCCAACCACAGTCCAACCACAGGGCACCTGTCGCCAGTGCCTGCCCGTGGGGGTCTACCCGGGGCCAGCAGACCCCCCAGTCCTGGGAGGCAAAGCAGCAGCAATATCACAAGGGATTTATTACCAGAGCTGCAGGCGTGATGCACATTTCCCCCCAGCACTCCATATGCTGACATGACCACTGATTTATGCGTGTTGTTATTTGCTCTAGAATTAAGGAAGAGCATATTTCACCGTGAATATCAGCCACCAGCTAAGAGTAATCATGGCCACAAGTTACAGGGAGAGAAAAGATACACTGCCAGCAGCCACGGGTCTCCTGCTCGGCAGCCTCTGACACCCTCCTGGAGGCACTCCTGCCCCAGCCTGCCCAGCATACCACCGCCCACACCTGCCCCAGCGGCAGTGTGGCATGGTCCACGCCTACGAACAGTGGGCCAAGGCCAAGCAGGTAAATTTGTGGAGAAACCAACAGCGGCCAGTCTGCCCTTCACCGTGGGTCACCCGACCCTTAACACCAGAGCTTCCTGAGTCAGCACACGGCCCGCCTTCCCACGAATCACTTGCCATCTCCAAAACTCTCACCCAAGGCATGGTTCGGGGCACAGTCTCCACACATCGTGTCCTCAGGCCTCCTCCAGCTTCGGCACACCCTGAACACGTATGCACACACCCACACGCCCGCATGCACACACATGCACACTCACACTCCACACACGTGCCCGTATCTCATGTACACACACTGGGCTTCTGAGCTCTACTCCGCTCCCCTTGTCCCCTCCGTAAATCAAGCAGTATTTGCCACCGTCCTCGAGCCTCACTGTTACTTTCAAAATAAAAACGACCCAGTTCTGAAAGGAGCCAGACCAACTGCCTCTCTCCCCTGTCACGCGCAGGGGACTCGGGAAGGGGTCTCATGGGGAACATCAGTGTGAGGAGTCACAGCACCCACCTGGCCAAAGCTCCCCTCCCCTGCCCTGCGGGGCCCTCACTGTCCCACTACCCATTCCTGGGCCTCCTGGGCCTCCTGGCCCACCTTCTGTCTACATCGGGGAGTGGAAACGACGGCCTCCTGCCACGTGGCTTGGCAAAAGCCCTGAGATGAATGTGGACACTAAAGATAGGACACAAGAGATTTTGCTACCTAATGACATAAGAACAGATCAATGTAAAAGTGAATTCTATTGCCAAAAAATATTTCCCTCTCCACCAGAACACACGGACTGCAGCAATGGTCTTGTGCGCCTACAGAGCACATGGAAGATGCTCCCAAGCCAGGAGCAGTCTCACCAAAGTCTCGAAACCCGAGCTGACAATGATTTGAAACCCACACTGATTCAGCATTGTAGCCAAGACAACTATGACAAAAATCCATCTGGCACGTGGACCGTGTGGCATATGCTAATCAAAGTCTATTACTGTTTTTCCAATGGTAATTGTCCACAAATTACGGAGTGTCTTTTACAAAGTACAGACTGACTTATTATGCTACGGTTTCTCCTCGTCCGAGTCCCCACACAGTGCACAACCACACCCGGAAAGAACGCCCTCCTTCCCCAGCCAAGCTCCACTCCCGCCCACTGTGGGACCCCAGCTCTGACTCTGCAGGTATCCTGTGTTCTCTCTGGTCCGCTGCACCCTGCGGTGCACTCTCCCCACGCCTAGCACGGGCTCAGAGGCCAGCTCCAACCTCAGCCAGAGAGCCGGCACATGGTGGAGCCACACTCTGGGCCTGTGTCCCCAGAGCATGCTCTTCCCACTGTCCCAGGGAAAAGGCTGTGCGCCTTTTCACACGCGTGTCACACGCCTGTCCGTTCACAGGTCACACTTGGGAGTCGCAGCAGGGGTGAACTGGGACATGCTCCCTCGGTCGAGCTCTTCTCTGCATCTGTGGCCTGTGGGCCTCACCACCACCTGCAGCCCCTTGTCCTGTCTGACATGAGAAAGAAACCAGGTGATCGATGCCTTTGTCCAGCACGTGACTACACATGTGCATATCATAGGGGTGCCTCCCCTCCTCCTGCCACACACCTGTCTGGTGGGAGGACCCACTGGGCTCCTGCAGGAGTGCCGCTGGGCCTAGCCCCACACCCTGCCTCCACTTCCCTCTCCTGCAGCAGACGTGGGTGGGGATGGTGACAGAAGCCCTGTCCCACCCGCAGGTTAACCTGCACCTCCCCTGCTGCAGCCACCTCAAGGCAGCATTCACAGCAGACTCTGCAGAAACCAAGGAAACACAAGAAACCACCCAGGATCGGGGCCCTGCTGGGTATGCACGTTACTTTTCTCTTCATGTTCAGTCTTCATTCAACGTACATTTTCTTTGGTCTCTGTTCAGAAGCTGTTTTCCTGGCTCTCAGAGGCATGAGTAACACATCCACGTGCAGCACCCAATGCGGGAGTCACAGGGAAGCGAGCGGATCTGTCCCATGGCA